CATCACTGAGAAATCATCGAATTAAAAATTACCTTAGTCCTAGGCATGTTAAGTGTGCCATAATCTTTTTTGGACATTTATATTCAGTATTGATGGTTTTAGATAGCATAACATTAGCTAGAACTCGAGCATCTTCAGAGGATCCGAATTACTAATTTAGTCAGGCGTTCCTGGATCACTCAACAGGAAGCCCAAATGTTGTGATGAAAGAACGTATACCAGTATAAGTTTTTAACTCGGAGATTGCGTAGCAATCGTAGAGTTATTGGGATGGTACAGCTGTCACTCGCTCGCTCGCTCGCTCGCTCGATCACTTTCCTGTAAACTTGAGCCTGCGATGTTTTTGTCATCGGTTATTTATTTAATTATATTAATGTATTCTACTTGCTTCCTCTAGTTGGTCTCCCTGTGCTTTTCGATTAATTATTATTTATAATATTTATATATTCACTTAATTTGGTTATTACAGTAACTTCTATAATATTAAGAAATTCATTGAGTTGTTTTTCAGCTATTTATGGCTGCGAAATAAATTTCATGTTCCCACCAGGTTTCGAACCCGCGACCTCTGGATTGTACGCTAAGCGCCTTAACCGATTGTGCCACAGTAACACTTTGATGAAACTTGGCGTGTTTTAGTAGTTTTATGGGGAGCACCGCTGTTCGAGTCCAGCTTGAGACAGGACATTTTTTTTCTTTTTTTCTTTTTGATGTTTTGGAGATTCTCTTTTCTTTTTCTTCTTTTTATAATAATAACAAACATGTTTCTGCATAAAGTTTTGTTTTTAAGAAATTATTTTAATTTTTGCACTCGGTAAATAAAATAAAATAAAATAAGGTTCACCATGATGGGTTTCCTGTGTTATATGCTGTGGATTCAATCGATATTTGCCGAAAACAACTGACCCATCGCACTAACTTAAAAACCTGGATTCAAGAGGAGAAAAAATTGTAAAAATTATATTGTTTGACGTAGAATTGTACCGATTGCAATAAGTTTTGACTGGGTTTTCGCTTCGAGTACGTGTCAACATGGCGTCTCTGCTAAAAGTAGCTTTCACGGCCTTATAAATAAACTTCAAGCAAATGGACGGTTTCTATTCCGCTTTAGACTTCAAGGTAAGATAATAATGTACAAAGCTTAGCAATGACATACTTAAATCTTAAGTTTATCATATGAATTACAAATCAAACTTTTTAGGCTGTGTCAACCTGCCCGTGAGTATTCATTGTTTTCAAATAATTAGCTTACGTACCGAGACTAAATCATTAATTTCATCGCTAAACCCAACCCAAACCTTACCCTAAACCTAAGCTAGAGCTAACCAAGGACTTTTGTTCAGTAATTCTGTATTTTTTTTTC